GGCCAAGCCCGGGCTCCGCGTCGCCTCCGCCGGCCCAGCCCCGAGGCCCGACCCCCTCACCTGGTCTCCAAGTAGACGTTGGGCGGCTGCCAGGAGTCCGGAGGGATGGCCGCCATTGTGGTGCCGGCGGACTCTCTCCAGCAGAGCTACTTCCGGCGTCGATTTGCCGGGGGACCCGCCGCCGCTGCGCACACTTCCGGTCCCCGAGGTTCAACCCCGCGATGCCAAGATTTGGGGAGTTAGGAAAAGGAGGAGGAAGGACCCCACCTCCAAGGCCGCGAAGCTGGGGTGCGAGGCGAATACCGGCTGGCGGCGAGGACAGAGGAAAGCGCCAGCTCCTTCGCAGGTGGTCTCCCAAGTGGTGCCACCGCGCCACTCTCCGGGCGCTCTGATTGGTTCGTTTAGGCGTGGAAGGCGGGAACAACCAGCAAACATGCACTCCGATTGGAGCTCTGTCCAAACTTTAAATTCCAAGAATTTCCGAAGTCCCACGGTAAGCCGGGGACCGAAAGGAGAGGAATAGAGGTGGGAGAAGCCCGGGACTAAGGCTCTGTCCAATTTACACAGCACTCGCACTGTATTATCTCACCTACTCAAAGTAGATGTTGCTATTCTCATTTTTCAGATCTGAAAACTGAGACTCAGCAGTTAGATGACTTAATTTGTTTGTAGACAGACAGCAAATCCGAGCCTCCACACTGAAGGCCGAGAGCCTGGGGAGAGAGGGAAGGGCCTGGAAGAAAGTGAGAGACAGGGAAAGGGAGAGACAGTGGAATGAAGATCAAAGAGATCAGGGCTAGAGCAAGGCCTAGAGTGACCTGCTGGGATAGCCGGTCGCCTAAGGTTGTTAGGGGGATTCACTCGGGGTCAAAGATGGAGAAGCAAGGTAGAGGCACTTCAAGGAAGTTTGAATGGAGGACAAGAAAGAAATGGGGTAAATAAACCTACACAGTAAATGCTACGCACACCACTTAATAATGATAGCTAAATGAATGCTTACTTTGTGCCAGGCGTGGAGCTAAGCACGATTGTTTACGTTCACATTGTTAAAATCCAACACAGACAGAGACCAGACTTGCAAACTCCCTGAGCAGGCAAACCAGGTTAGCCATTCAAGCAAAACTTAGGCCAGTTCTTGTTAATGCTTCCGAAAATGATACACAGAACTTAAACTGTTCCCCAGAATCGATGTGAGCTAACCACTTTTCACCCATTCTCTATCACTAGGAAAACCCTAATTTTACAACTTATCTCTGGAGAATAAACGCCTTTGCCTCCTCACTACGTAAGCTGCTTTATAACAACCCGTCTCTGAGCCTCATTTGTATTCAGTCTGAATGCTCCCAGTTTGCAAAATGCTTTGTTTTGTGTGTGTGCGCAATAAATTTTTGCTAATTATTATTTCAGTGATCCAGTGATTTTACTTCCACTATTTCTGAACTTTTGACAACACTTAATCTTCAAAACGCCATGAGGTAGATATTACTATTCCCTTTTTACTTTGAGGAAACAGATTAATAACTTGCTCAAAGTACCACAGCTGTGAGCCTGTGCTCTAACCACAGTTCAATCCTAGTTTCCTTAATTGTCAAGTGGGCATAAGATAATGCAGGTCTTAAACATCAAACTAGTCAGCAAGCTCTGTGAAAGAGGAACTAGGCCTGCTGCATCTCTGTGCCCTCCTCACAGAGAACTGAGCATAGGTTGCTCAGGTTTCAATGAATGAATAATAGACATAAAACCATGTTTTAGCCCTGATTGGTGTGACTTAGTTGGTTGGGCATTTCCTGTGCACTAAAAAGCTCGATTGGATTCCTGGTCAGGGCAGTGCTGGGTTGCAGGCTCCATCCCCAGCATGGGGCATGCAGGAGGCAGCCAATCAAATCGATGTTTCTCTTTCTCCCTCTCCCTTCCTCTCTCTCTAAAAATCAATAAAAATATTTTTTTCAAAACCAAAACAATGTTTTAAACCGATGAGTGCTCTGCTAATGTAAGGTATAATTAAATTTACATCTCCAGAGGTCTTGTGTTAATGCCCTTTGTGACCCTTGAACTGGAAGGAAAAGTCTTTATTATTGATCCATAATGTGTGTTATTGTTTGAGTTGCCTTTTTCTGGACCTTTTGTACTTTCTTACTATGTATTTTGGGAGGCTTAGGGCACAGTGAGGATGCTTTGGGGTTTTATGCAAGAATAAGACAGTGTCTTGCTGTCTCATTACAAAATCCTTCCTCTAGAGGCTCAATATTTGTTGATCTTTTTGTCCCCTAGAGAACATTGGGTATCAGTGACTTCAGGAAGGAGTTGACAAAGAGGCCTGGATTCCTTTCCTGAGTTATAACTAATAGTTCACATTAAGTTAGAGTAGCTTGTATTTATTTCATTTATTCTGCTTCTGAGCTTACTGCATCTTCTGAATAAATGTTCTTTATTTTAAAAAATTATAAATTTTATACAGAAGCATCATTTTTCAGGCTGGAAACCTTAAGATTATCCTTTCTCTCTGATTTCTCTAAGGGACATATCATCAGGTGTTGGGAGTCGGTGACATGTCTGGACATGGTCCACATCACCTGAGGGCTGGAGTTAAGGACTTGACCCTCCCCACAAGTTCCCATGAGGAGGCTTGCTATCCAAGATAAGGAAATACCAAGGTCTGGGCTCATGCAGGAGGCAGGATATTTACTCTGAAACAGTGTTTATGCAGCCTTGAAGGAACTACTTTACATCACGCTCACCTCATTACCAATTGTTTGTCACTTACTATATAATAAAGGCATTGAAGCCATTTGGGGCTGCTCCTCGCCAGAGGACAGTCCTCCTGATCCCATAACTTTGTTTGTCTCTTTCATTCCCACCACTCGAACTCAGGTTTGTTCGTTTCTCAGGCTGGTTCCTGACAATCAGGACCTGTCAATTCTTTTTCCAAAGGTCCCCAAATTGTATCCCTTCCCACTCCCACTTCTGTTTCAGACCTTTAACAACAAGGTTATTTCAGAAGCCCTGGCTGGGTTCCCTGACTCCGGATTTCCCCCACTAAACCGTCCTACGCACACACAGCAGCCAAAGCCTTCCTCTGAAATGTCACTTTGCCTATTAAAGTCTCATACCACTTGTCCTGGGCTTGAAAGCCCTTCACCATTGGCCCCCCTCACTGACTTCTCCAGCCTGATTTCCTACTATTTTATCCATGACTTAAATGTGCCACCACATTCCCACTCCCAGGCCTTTGCCCAGGCTGTTCTCTTTCCTTGCAATGCTTCCCAAACCTTGCCCATGCCTTTGTCCCAACTCCTTCAGAAACCTCTCTACTCCTCCTGTCTACAGTATACTCTTCTCCCCTTCTCTCTTCTTGGCCTTTCATTCTGTGCTGCCTTCCATTGTTGTCTAACTGCCTGTGTCAGATTCTCTTTTCTCCAAGTAGAATGTTAAGAGCCCATGTTAAGGCCCATGTCCTAGTTCACTTCGGTTCAGCACTCACACAGGGCCTGTTCTAGGCTATAACCTGAGCGGAGGGAATCTCCAATTGCTGAGCAGAGCCAAGGCACCAACCCACAAACAAGCAATTCTGTTACACAGGGTGCTATTACCTGGGAACCTTGTCAAGGGTTTTTCTAAATCTCAACAGAGAGAAGCCAACACTAAAGAAGTGAGATTTATCCATCATTTCCCCCCTTATTCTCTCCCCCTAACCAGTTCCTCCTCCCATGCCTCCAATCACTACTGTCTTAGTCACCAGACATCTTTGACTCCTCACACTCCCTCAGCTACATCCCCACACACGTTACAGGTTTCCAACCACTTTCACACTCATGATCTTTCTCAGTCTACATTGACCAGGTTCTAGAGCAGAAGCTCTGAGTGACTGACAGAAGGAAGCGGTCAGCTTCAGACCCACTAGGATTTACTGTGTCCCAGGACTCAAGCCTTTCCCCTGCTATCTTCTTCGGAGCCCTTTCTACTACCTGGCAGTCTTTCTCATCTGTTTTACCTGGGAAATGTTTCTTAAGTGGATTCTCATTCCTTTTACCTAGACCATCAAGGTTGTTTTTCCCTTGAACTTTCCAAGTTAATTTTTTGTTTTCCAAGATAGCCTTCATCCTGCACTGGATGAAGATGTCCATAGCAGAGCTCTGAGCATGTCACACCCTTGCTCAAAAACCTTCAGTGCTTCCCACTGCCCTCACATTAAAGTCCTAGCACTCCAGGCCTTCCTGGCTATGCCAACGTGATCTTTAAAGATTGGTTTTTCTTCTATAAGTAGTCTTGCCTCGGCCAGATTGACATTCCAGGCTCCCAAAACGTGCTCATATCTTCCCTCCTGAATCTTCTCACTCCTATACCTTGTGCCTGAGATGTTCATTCTCAGGCTCCAATGTCTGAATCCTTAAGGCAATCTCCAAACTCACTTTGTCCCTAAATCTTTTCCTGGCACACCTACCAACCACCAGGCACTGGGAAAGACAGACGTGAGTCACATGCACTGTTCTCAGCCCCAAAGGAACCCATATTCTAGGAGAGACAGACAAACACATGGCTACAGGAGAGTGGAGTGAGGGCTGTAATAAGGAAGCACATGTGCTTTCTGAGCTTGAGCTCTTCCAGAGCTGGCTTTAGGTAGTTAGAGATTTCTCTAGGAGTGGTAACCTGAGCTGACATCTGGAAAATGTTGAAACCAGGAGAGGTTTCTTTGAAGATCTGGAGCAAGATAAAGAGATTGGGAAGTCAGAGATTGTTTCTCAAGCTGTCCTAGAGCTGAGTAGGATCTTGAACTTGATTCTGAGGGCAATAGGGATCCGTGAAATGACAGAATCAGATTTGTACATTGGAAGTGTCACTCAGGCTGTGGTATGGAGAGTGACAAGAAGGGCCAGAAAGACGTGGGATTTTTAGGACATCTGGACTCTCCAGAGCACATTTTTTCAAGTAAAAATTTAAATTGAAGTATAATATACATCCAGAAAAGTAGAGATACTAAGTGTGACAGTTTAATGATTACAAAATAAACCAACCTGTGTAACCACCATCAAATCAAGAAAAAAATGTTTCTAGCTCCACAGAAGTACCCCCATCAATCAGTGACCTGCCCCATTCCCTAAAGGTAACTAACCACTTCCTGACTTCTACATTCATAGATTAGTTTTCCCTGGTTTTGAAATTTATATAAATGGAGTTGTAAGGTATTTTTATGTCTCGCTTCTTTTGTTTAACATGTTAGTGAGGTATATCCATGTTGTTGTATGTAGTGGCTATTGTTTCACTTTTCAGTGCTGTGTAGTATTCTGTTGCATGAATATACTACAACGTATTTATTCTATTGCTAATGGGCATTT